AGAATATAACGATATATCCTTGAAATCACAATCTTTGTGGAAATTACTTTATTCGACACGAATAGATTTTTAACTATCATTAAAGACAATGTTAAACTTGTTTGTTTTTAAATAAAATTTAGAAATGGTTTACATAATCTTATTGTAAGTATATATCCTCGATTAAACACAGTTTTTCCTTGACATATATATATATATATATATATATATATATACATATGAATATATGTATATATGTATGAGAACGCGTATCACACGGATTGTGTACAATCTGTACATGGTTCAATAAATAGAGCTTTATATTATAATTTAAAAGTACACGAATCTCGCGTAATTAAAATAATTAAGTATACATTATGATGTGTCTTAATGATCACATGCATGTTTTCAACAATTTGCCAAGATAAATTAATCATATCTTTGAATTACAGTAGTTGTATGTTACAATAATTTATTTTGTAAGTTTTCAAAAAGCAGATCTTATGCTATGTATGAAAATTTATTATGTTTATGTTCATTTAAATGGCAGCAAAAATACTTAGAGTCTAACTCTAGCGCAATGACTGCTCGCGCATTGCTTTGTACTGTCTTGTGGAATAAAACCTTACACAAAGACCTCTTTCAAACATTTCTTTACTTTGAAAAGCATTCTGAAAGTAAACTATTGCAATTATGTTTTTTCATTCAAGTGAAATATCGGTCAATCGCGTTTAGTTTAAGAAAATCCATTTAATATTCTATCACTTTGATTTTATACCATATCTCTGTATTATAAGTATACAATCATAAAACTATGAATCTTTAACACACAAAGTTAAAAGTTTTATATATTACAATATTTCATGTATTATAATAATATGTATTATAATAATAATAATAATACATACTTTTATAATAGATTTTAATGTAAATGAAAATGTAACATTGTAGTGAAAAATAACTTGTAATATTATTGTTAGTTCATCTTACTTAAGTTATATATTCAACAATCTTTTTGGTTTGCTTATTGCACGCAATTCAAATCACATTGTCACTCTATGCTTTATAAACACACGTACGCACACGTTGAACTACCCTTTAATTTGTATATTAAGCAAATAGTAAGTAATAAACATTTCTTTGAATTATATCAGTTTTAATCAACGTTATAAATATGTCTCTAAACAGTTTGCTTATTTGCTTATCCTTTTATATGCATAATAGTAAGCATTTATCGCGTAAATAATATTTTCATAAATAGTTATCCATACATACAACACTCTATGTACAATTGCTTTGTGTACAGTATTAAATATTATTATTAGTGTTTATACTATAAAGTACGAAAAGAACTGGCTTGCTTTGTGCTTTCCAGTGATAATTATAAAATATTCATTCGAGTTTTGAATTTCCGCCTATCGGTTTTGAAATTCATGCTAAAATCACTTTCCGTACGAACAGACTTCGATGAATTGGTATCGTATCTTTCCTAATTTTGTTCGATTTGTTCAAATCTTGCAGATATACATTGTTTCTGGATGGATGGTACAATACTTGATTCCACCTTTATTCATGATATTTACGTGTTGAATTAATTCCTATTTAATTGTACTATCCATCCTGAAACATTCTACATTTGTAATATTCGATAAATAATACTTTAATTCTCTCTTACCCTGTCTTTGAAATGCGAAAGCAAATATTGAAGTCGCCTCTATGGTAAAGAAGGTAATGACGGTAATGGTGGAGCTGGTGGTGGAAGTACCTCGCTTTCAGGTGAAACGATCTCGTCGATGTATTTTATCCAATCCACGTACATAATAAGATGCGTCAAACTTTCGAGACCAGCCACGGTCATTCCACGACAATAACGAGTGTCCAAATAATGAAGACTTTTGCAATACGCTTTAATAGAATCAAGGGTATGATCTGTAAGCTGTGAGCATGCCTACAAAGAAATAAACTTAGCAAAGAATTTGCAAATGACTAATGGATTTCACTTTAAAAATTACTTGTATAAGAAGCCGTTTTAATCTATGTAATCTCTGAGCTAGGTACGATATTCCAATGTCTGATATATTATGACATTGATTCAGATTCAAATCTTCGATTGCAGGATTGTTCCTGGATAAATAATCTAGTCCCACATGCGTCACCTACGATGTAGCAATATTGAATTAAAAGAGTATACATTTGATATTTATAGAGGACTTGATAAAACGTCTAATTACCTGTTGACATTGACTCAAATTTAAGATTCTCAATTCTGGAAAAGCAAATGCGTGTTTTAAACTAACATCGGTAATTCTATTGCAACCGGAAAGATCTAATTCCTGAAGACGTTTCAGTCTGATTAACGAAAATACAGATTTTATGTCCAAAGGTCTAGACACATTTTCACAGAGTTTCATTACTTCCCGTTTTCGATTTGCGTCCCGTACTATTTCTTCTTCGGCCCTTGATCGTAAACTAATTCTCAATCTGTTTTCTGTAAATTCTGGTTTATATACAACTTGTACGTTTTCGACTCGTTCATCATGGTTACCAGCACCCATACCCGTTAAGCCGACATCACTGACCTTCTTGCAATGGCTTATTTTTAATGTTTGCAAATGTACAAGTTCCTTAAATACCATCTGCAAGAGATAAACTTATATGTATGAACATAATCATCATCATCATCATCATCATCATCGTTTAGTTATTTTTGAAGTATAGGAAAATAATCTAACAAAGTGATTATGCGCACGATACACACACCTGTATCGTTTTATCCGTAACACCGCTGCAACAGTAACTAAGCTCGAGTACTCTTAAATTAGGAAACGACCGGCATATACATTCGATCGATTCTTCGTGAAGGTGTAATGCATTTGCAGAGAATATCTGCATGGTCTTCTTTTGTACAGTCTTTTCAATATCATAATATTCGCCTATAGATTTGAAATTTATATTTCCTAATTCGATGTTTTCCTCAATACCACTGTCATCTGTTTTCTGATTGAAACAAAGTCCGTGAGTAATGCAATCTCCGGTGAGCTGTTCATCTTCCGAGATATCAAGTTCCTTCAAGTTTCTCAATAGTCTAATATACTGTACACCTGTGTCGGTGACTGCACGACATCTTTTTATTCTGAATACTTCTAACTTTGTCAGATTTTTGCAAATGCAAAGTAAACTAGCATCCGTGATTCTTACACAGAAACTAATATCAAGGACCTTCAAACATTTTTGATGTTCAGTTAGACCCCTGATGCCTTCTATAGTCAATTGATAACAGCCTTGCAACATTAATGATTCCAGTTTTAAATCTTCTATAGATGACAGAGTGGCCAAAGCAGTTCCATCTATTAGAGTATATCCAAAATTCAAGTGCTTCAATCTGTACGCTTGATGTTTAAGGTACTGTAAAGTGTTGAGAAACGTCAGAACAGAGTTTGAAGCTTCTGGTAATGTTTTTGAGTTTTGAGGATAAAACTTTTTGTACAATCCACTGTGAAAAGATATTTGACAACCCATAAGATTTAAGGATTCCAAGTTCGAGCAGATGGAGATTAATCTGTTAAATAAAGCATCGCTCAAAAATCTATTGTAATCGAGATTAAGTTCATGTAGGTTTTTTAATGTTTCAGAGAGTTCCTTTATGTCATTTTCATCCTCCAAAAGTTTACCAGACATCAAGCATTCTCTACAGGCACTTATACGCAACACTTTCAAGGAACTGCAGCATTTAAGAATCTCCACAAGCGTCTTCTCACTTAAATCACAGCCAAACAATACGAGACTTTTCATATGGGGTCCATACTGATCCCAGATTGGCATGTTTATTTTCAACTCCACTTCTCTAAAAATAAAGTGATAAAATGGTCGTGTAGAATGTTGCAATATCTCCATTACTTGACATAAATTGTCTGCGCGTGGTCGACCAAGGACTAATGCTTCTCGATCCACAAATTTCATAGCGAGCGATGCCTCTCTCCAAGAGTGATTGACTAGTCTTGCTGACATCCTATCGGATGTAGGTAGGTACGATAATATATGTATAATCATCTGAAAGGAACACGATACACCTGTGACTGTTTAGAAATGGAAAGATCTTTAATCTGTCAATGTCTAATATCATATTTTGATTGCATTAAAACTTTTATTTACTTGATATTTATAAGTAACGATGACAAAGAATAAAAATGAAAGTGTCATCAAAATAGAACATCGAGCGTTGATAGGTAGGTTAAACGATTCGTATCGTTTACTGCTTGTCACTGACATTTGTTAACATTTTGCTATCGAGTTAAAGTGTCAAATAATTTTGCATAAATTCTTATCTACAGAACCAAGACAAATTCGAGAAATGAACCAATTCGGTGGAAAAATCATAAAATCATGAAAATAATAATTGAAGTACAAACGATCGTAAAAAGAAACAACTTACATCTATTGGTAACTGAATACTTTCCAGATCTGTCATGTTTCGTGCAGAAGCCTTATTATCGAACGTTATCGGCATAACATAAACGTAACAAAATAGCGTCGCGAAGCGATTCGGTTACTGATGTAAAAACGTTCACTCCCGGAAGTACGAACTTTCAGCTGTGCTACAGCTGTTTCTACGGGAATCACGTGCTTCACGCATATATCAAAATTCCGGAGATGCGATCATTCGTCAGTTGGACTCAAACAGATGTTCCAAACCAGGAAAACAATAAATAATATAAGAATTGAATGAAGGAATGATTCGTTTAGTGATTATTTATTAAATTATATCGTTAAATAAGAAAACATTAGTTGTCATCGGGAAAGAAGGTGAGATATAGATTCGCTCGTTGTTCTCAATTAACAATTTCAAAGTTACTGTCAAGCGTTAGAAAACAGTTGTCCGATGATAGTGAACGTGATGTGTTTCACGGTAATCATTACAATTTAGTCTTCGATTTATTTTCATCAGGTGTCGCAGCGCTGCACTGCTCGTCAAAGATCATTGAAAAACATTATCGTACAACATACTACGACGCATTTCGAGAACTTTCTTAATTGGGCAATCGAGTTATCGAATCTACGATCGAACCTATGGATTTAATGGCTTACGTTCCCCATTTTTCAGAGGCGCCAAACATCGAGGTGAGCGAACCATCTTGACAGAGAAAAATATTGCGCATTGTACGATGTAAATCGATTTCTTGTTAAACGCGTAGCGCACACCGGTGATCCAGCATGTTTGCGAACAGCCGAAAGAGGAAGATCACGTGGAGAATGCCATAAAAGGGGATTCCCTTAGGGCGAAAGCGGCTAGATGGTTGCTGCGTCAACGGATTTTATCGCGGAAACACCATTTGACGCATTGGAGTTTGAAAAGCGCAACCGCGGTCAACTACGAGATCTCGAGACACGTAAAATCCCATCCCTACATGATTCATCCTTTCAGCTCGTTCAGGTGAACAGGCTCTAATTTTCTCTGAATCAATAATATCCACAGCGAGGGGCAAACCGAACGAATACATAAACCTCCTCTTCGTCCGGTGATAATCGCAGGATAATTTCACTCGATTTACTTTCCAGCATCTGTTGGGAACTGTTCATGACGGTGTTCACGACAGTGGCTCTTCTGGTCACTCCAGTCTCCATCGCCTTCTACTTCGACGAGCACGAATACTGGCACACGGTCAACGATACGATGAACATCGTCTTCTTCTGCGACATTGTATTATGGTTCTTCACAGGCTATTACGACTATCGAACGAAGATGATAGTCCTGGATCCAAGGATAGTAGCGATGTACGTTTACTCGATCATTTCGTCGAATTAACGAATCGCTGAAAGATTCTCGTTCCCACGCAGAAAGTATCTGAGGAAGTATTTCCTGGCGGATCTGATGACCATTCTACCGATAAGTTTCGTCGAGATCGTTCTACCCAACGGAACGTGGTTCTGCACCACTCTGAACATGATGAAGCTATTACGGATTCGCAATATAATCTTGTACTTCCGTAGACTTCACGGAGTTAGTTCGTCGTCAGGGTGACTTCGCAACTCGGGAATTACAGTGATTTCGCGGTTCCAGGTGTACCGGATAAAGTATCAACTGTTCAAGATTCTGGAAACGAGCGTGATCATCGTACTGTGCATACACTGGGCTGCGTGCATAGAGTACTACGTTCCCATGTCCGTGGGCCACTTGGGCACATTGAGTTCTCAGTCAGCTGATCATCCTCCTAATCGCGTTTCTTATTGCAAACCTATTTCGGTTTTATCGGAAATCCGCTTTCAGATCTTGGATTAATTCGGAGTACTTTCGGTCGAAGACCACCAAGACCGAAATGTATCTCGTGTGCTTGAATCGTGCGATTACCGCGTTGGTGCGGTCCGCCCATTATCTGGATATGAAAACTCCCGAAGATATGATACTGAACATGATACTGACGGTCTGCGGATTCATCGGTTTCGCGTACTTGATAAGTGCGTATGCGAGTAATAAAAGCAAACCGACTACATTCATTCAACGCGATCGGAATGAACCGTCAATGGCGTTTCGTTGTAGCTCAAGTCTCGGATTTACTAACAACCTTTCACATAACGATCAAGCGTCACCTAAAGATCATGCAACAGCTGCAGGAGTACATGCGATACAAGGAACTGCCGCAGGCTTTGCAACGCCGTTTGCTGGTGTACTATCAATACCGTGCGAAAAAACGGTTCGAAAGGAATCGGAAGATTATAGACGAGGTCTCGCCCTACTTGAGAGAGGTCCTAGTCTCACTGTTAATTACGACCGATAATCGCTTTCCCATATTTCCAGCCATTAAAACATCGTTAAGCTTACGACCGACATTTTCAGGAATTGATTTTACATAATTATCTGAGTCTGGTCGGCAACGTGAAACTATTCAACCATCTGCCGGGAAGCGTGGTGGTGCAACTGACTAACGCACTGCGCACCGAAATCTATATGAGCGGCGACAAGATCGTTAAGGCTGGAACGCGCGGTGAATCCCTCTACTTTATTACCTCCGGCACAGTGGCGGTCTACACTGCTACAGGAAAAGAAGTAACGTTACTCGAAATCGTTCTGCCGATTCTGTCGACTTCTCGGTAATCGCATTTCATTCACTGCTACCGAAAGGTCTGCCACTTGGAGGACGGAAGTTACTTCGGGGAGATCGCTTTGGTAATGGAGACCGAGTTGAGGATAGCTACCGTGATCGCGGTGGAGACTAGCGAGATCTGCGTGTTGGAACGCGACGACTTCCGCCGATACATATCTCGGTATCCGGACTTGTTGAACCGTTTGCAGAACGTCGCTCTCCAGAACTTGGAGAACAGCCCGGGCCTGGAGGAAGTCTGCGATCTGAATACCTCCGTCAAGCATCGGTACATCAATATAAGCAGCATAAAGCGCAACAAAAAGACTGCCGATAATCGGGGCGAAGAGTAGAAACCGGTAGTTATACTAATTCTATCCTGTATAAGCTAGCAACGATAGTTCCTTCGCCTGTACGGATTTCTATAAGACTGCTGATAGACGGACATGAGTCTCCAATGCTCCGGGTAATCGGCACTTCTGCACCCGTTCACGACGCTGAAGGGAGGGGCCAAGGTATCGATGCGGAAAGATCGTCTAGCGAAGGGAGTCCTGGGTCTCGGTACCACCGTTTTTATTTTCTGATCACCGTCCGCTTTTTCGAGACCTAACGCCAGCCCCACGGCCGATTTCACTTGCCTAGGATCGTCCTCGAAGCATCTCGGTTCGCAGGCGATACACTTTCTGAAAGCGGATCTTCTGACTCGTTCTTCTCCTCGACTCTGCTTCGAAATGCTGACGCCGTTCATTCTCTTGCAAAGACAATCGCAGCAACATCTTTTGTCGTCCGTCTCTTTTTCGTTCTCCGAGCAACTTTCCTGGCGACATTTCTCATTCCTGGTGCTCGAGCGAAGAGAACTCGTCGAGCCTGATGTACGTTGGATCAACGTGAAGATCGCTGGGGCAAGTCCACCCTCCGAGCCGTCGATGTGAGTAGGTCTGGGTGGTTCGTAGACGGGATCTACAGGGGTTTCCCAGCAGATCGCCAAGTCCATCTTTGTCTTCGGCTCCTTGCATCCTAGGATTGGCCCGTGTCGCTTGTTCGATGCCCTCGCGCGGTTTCTGGATTCTTGGCTACGCTTTCCATCCGAGTGCCGCCGTCAGGATCTTTCCGGGTCGGCAATCTTGAACACGGAGTCGTCGACCTTGTCCGGTAGAGGCTGATGATCCAAGTTCTCCGCGTGAAGTTTCTTCGCCAAAGCGAAGTGTTCGTAACAGGACGGTCGATCTTCCATTTCTTTCGTCTTCGAAAGATCCTTCTCCTCCTTCCTCCTGGGACAGTCCGAAACGTGCTTGACCAGAGAAGGTATTCTAAGGTGTCCCGTAATGTACCTGGGCTGGCAGCATTCGTGAGACTCGTTGGTTCCGGAAGGGACCAATTTTCCGGGACAGTGAGCGCAACACTTCTGAGTCTTCATGGTCTCCGTTCATATTAATCTTCCCATGGATCAAAAATGAATGACCTCACTCTTCTTTAGTTGCGCAACCGATTCGAAGGACCTACGAAGCCAACACAAGCCAGTGTAAGATACTTGAATGAAATAGGCGATGCTGCTTCCGAGAATTTCACGCGAAGTCCCTTCAACCAGTTTTCGCGCTCCGAGCGCGACTGCAGGAATGCGTCTCCCTAATCTCAGTGAACGGCACGGTTGTTTACTTGACGACGGGCTAGCTCAATACTACGATTCCGCATACATAGTTATACAGAATCGGTTCTGTGCAGGATAATTTTAGAAATCGTAAAGCGCAGACGACTACGAGATCTTTGCATCTGATTACTTCGGCACGAGTTATCGGGCTTGACCGATTTACAATACTTCACCGAGACGTGATGATGTATGCATTTCCCGCCGGTGATTCACGGCTCCCGTACTAGTTTTGTCTCGTGTAAAAATCAGAGAATCCGAGTGGTTGTTCCCCAGAGATTCGCGCGAGAAGGTTCACGAATAAGGAACTTTCGAATGGAGTTTGTGTTTGTGGTTCCCAGTATCGTTACGTGGTCACAGCAAGCTGTGCGATGGTACCCGTAGGCGTAAAACGTGTCTCGAGCCGTTGATGATTACAGAAAAGTAAAATGAAACTTACTCGCGTTCATCTGTACGGAATAATGATGAATCCTGGGATTCCTGATTCCATTATTTATAAAAATAATCGTCGCCGTTATTAAGAGAGCATTTTATCGTTCTAAGAAGAATCCTATCACTTCGTATTCTCGGTAACTCTTAAATATATTTATCAAGAAAACTGCGCGAAGCAGTTTTCCATTTCCCCTTCGCTGTTAGTGGAATAGAATATGCTTTGTGATTTCATTAATTCCAAGAACTGCGAACGTTACATATTATTTATAGTATATCGAGGATCATACAAGGTTCCGTTGGAGCAATGCCATTCCCCTACTACGACACTAGACTCGGGGCATTTTAGAGGAGCGTCGTTTTCATCTATCTCAGAAAGCACGTGACAGTAGCACGCAACTCGGCGAGTCCTAATGGTTTTCCCGACTCCAGTCGCATTGTTCTCGGTAAATTATAGAGTCGATATTAAGCAGCTCGCGTCGCCCGGTGACTTGGTCTAGATGAATAATTGGAGTCGCTTAACGGTTTCCAACGAACGTGTCGGATTATGTGTTCGGACATTGTTCGAACGCGTGAATTAATTAAGCGGATAACGTCCTTGAGTAAACTGGTAAATCCCGTGCCGAAGGAAACCCTGACGTTATAACAGTGACGTCACGAACGCGAATCGTGAATCAGCTCGTTTCGACCGAGTGAATGGAAGCTCTATCAACTTGCGTGCAACAGATCGGTTCCGTCTAAGCGCGGTGGCAGTGGTGCGCGAGTGCGCAAACTTCTACCCGTCGCGTACACGGTTGGCACATACGCAACGTGTATCGCGTTAATATTCAACTGGGGTAGATACCGCGAACCGTGAACCGTAAACCGCAAATTTGCATTGTCGCAACTGTGATACGGTTGAATCGTTTCACGCGGCAAATCGGGGAAACGATCGGCGAATTGAGAAAATTAGCTGTTTCCATGTTGGACCTTCAGAACCGTGCGTTTCCTGTGCACTAACAATAGGAGTGGTGCGTCGAAAATCCTTTTGTTCCATTTGAAGAGGTGTCATGGAAGAGAAAGAGATGGATCTATTAAAAGACAAAGGAGATGAGATTCTCTACATGGATGACGTTAGGGATGAAGTGTCTCAGCCGTTGACGTCTAAGGAACTGGAGGGTATTACCATTGGGCCGCGACTGGGTGCCCTGCTAGAGACAGACAATACGAATAATCCCCGGCCAACTTCTGGACCAGAGATCGATGACCTCAAACCGGAAGGGAAACCGTCAATTGGGTTCGATCATCGGGGGATAGACGATGGTTTGCTACCGGAAGATCCTCGGATACCGGACATTCCCGTGTTCCCAGACAGCAGGACACCGTTCTTCCCAGTTCCTCCGATTCAGCCGATTCCCGATGTAAACATCTACCAACACAAGAAAACGCTGGCGCAAGGAATGATGGATTTAGCTCTCTTGTCAGCGAATGCGAATCAGTTGCGTTATGTTCTGCAGACCGATGGAGGTCACCCTTATTACTATCCGTCGCTGGTTATGATAGGCGCCAGTTTATTCTTGCAAATCGCGGTGGGGATAGGACTGATCTGGAACAGCAGATACAATGTCAAAGACACCGCTCAAATGTGCAAGGCTGAGAGAGCAAACAATTGGACAGTGATCGGTATATTTTTAGTGACTATCCTTAACGTGTTCATCTCATCCTTCGGGGTGGTTGACGTGGTGTCGTACACACCGGACACTGGTATAAAGCTCACTTAAAAGTACCTTCTAATTGTAAGATTATTGTGTTCACGTGTTAGCTGTATGTTCGTGCATTTTTCTTATTTTATTATAAACATTAAAGTTGGATACAAGACGGAATTAATTGTAACAGTTTCTTTAATTCCTTGGATAGTTTCTCCTTTTTTTCTGATAGACTTTCGGTTTCTTTGTTTAATTCTGTTGAGATCTCTGAGAATAAATTTTCCATTCCCTCGCGGTCATTTTGAGCTATCAACAAGCGCGACGCATATTTAAATTTATAGTCTTGACAATCAGAGTTCTTTTTGGAAGATAAAACTTTAAGTTTCTCTTGCATAATATCGTGTAGTGTGGATATAAATTTGAAAATTTCATCCCAGTTTATGTCATGTAAACCAGAGCTCAAAGATTTATGGTGCTCCTCCACTACTGTTACCTAAAAATTTTATCATACCATCATGGTATTGTCTTTCCGGGTATGTAACTTAAGAACATTGTAACCATTTGTAAATTTACCATCCATTTAAAGAATATACACTCTTTTCTCAGCCACTTCACGTGGACATCCAATAAATTTCCAATGGTAAATAGTTCCTTTAAATATTTCTGATCCTCCTCGGATGGCACACTTCTTTTACTGGTTGCTATACGCTTTATTAGAGCCAGTTCCGATACAGATAAATGAGGGAGGCCACTAACATTAGTAGTTACCGCATGAACTCTGCTTATTAAATTAGCTCTCTCCTTAACAAGATTGGATATTTCTCTGATATTATAGTTCACTTTACCATTTAAATGTATAATATCGTTTATCTGATCAATCTGGGTTTCTGGTACATTATACGCTGCTTCTTTTCTCTAAAAGAATGTATGACAACTTCAATATACTTAGATTAAAATTTCTACTTAATGTACACATATAAATACATTAGAGATTATGTATTGTAAATACATAGATTACAAGTTACTTTAAAATTATTCAAGTATGAACATTCTCTTCCAAAAACACTGTTAGCCACAATCGTTCGGACTACGATACGAAGAGCATCTTGACTTCCGAGAAGCCAGGCAAATGCTAGTAATAATTGTCTACTGTTTTTATCATTTTCGTTACAAGCATAAAACTTAACCGCAGGATATTGTAAATATGCAAAGCATAATTTGGTAGCCAACACTGTATCTAAAAATAAACTTAATTTGAGCAAGCAGTGGTGGGTATGAAACAATGTTATATAAAAATTTATAAATTAAACGAAGTCAAAACACTATTTCAATAAATTTACCATAATCCTGAAAATCAAATTCAATTTGCCTTTCTTTCACAGCATGATAACTTAAGACGTTCAATACCTTCCAGAATATCTTGATCTGTTACGGAAAATAAATCATCGAATTAAATTGTTTATCCAATTGTTTACATAGAGAACGTTACGTGTAGAGGTTATGTGACATTGCTCGCACACTCACAACATCTTCAGCGGTGTCATTAAATTTTGCTAGCCTAAAGTATTCAGGTTTCATTGAAACATTGACTGACAAATTCAAATGCTGGCATAATAAACACAAAACACTTTTTATATCAGACATTGTTATGATTCGAATCAAAAATACACATTTCACGCACTCAACTTTCAATTTCCAATTAAGTTCGCGCGCTTTCCGAACGCTGCTCGATTGACTCTAGGTTGAATATTCTTTTCAACTAAAAAATGTAGAATGTTCTATTTGCGTAATTTACGAGAATATTCAGCGTTGCATTCCGTCCTGCATGGCTATAAAATTATTCCTGGCTTAGACCTAATCCGGGATACTTAAACCCAAATAATTATCACCCTTGTAATGACGGTCGTTTCACAAAGAAGTCTGCAGGTAGTCACGTTCGTCATCAGGTTGGAGTTCTTACCACCTGCTAAGCCAACTGGGGTTTCCTTTATGTTAGCAAAACTTCAAGTATCAGTCAACCGGTACCGTAATTTCAACAGTACCATTATGGAAAACAACGAACGGTCTTTGCTTTATTGTTCACACGAGGCACAAAAATGTACTCGAACGTTTCCGATTCTTGCGTCACGGACAACTAATTACCCGAACATTCGCGAACTTTTAAACAATTTTACGACAGAAATATACTTTTTCAATACTGGAATTAACAAATTAACAGCTAAAAAAGTTAAAAAAAAAATATATTTCTATTCTCTGCACCTTGTCCAATGCAATTCGATCGTTTCTCTGGTTTCGACGAGTTCGCTGATCGATCGGCTATCGATAAATTGAGCGGGCTGGTATGCAGTTAACTTCTGCGTTATTTCATAATCCACCAATACTGTTCCCGCGGGAAATGAAGAAAAAAAGAGCAGAGAAACGAGAGTGCGCGAAAACATCCGCGATCTGGTTATTTAGTACGATAAAAGATTTGCGGAGTGGGCAGTCGCGTCTCTGTTGTCCTGCGTCCCCACTTGCCACGAATTGCCGATGCACCGGTAGATCCTTCCTCGTCCCGCCGTTCCCTTGGGTACGGAGCTAAGATTACGGGCCGTTAATGTGACGGAAACCGACTGGTACGTGGCGGAAACAGGTCAATCGCGTCCGATCGTTCGAACGTGCAGGTTCGCCGAGCGATCCGTCGACGGTCGAGTCTAAACGCTTCTGACAATTGTCTTTTGCATCGGTTAACTTCACGTGTCCGCGTACCGTTGACAACGGTCAGTCTCGCGGTCCATTTTCCGACGACGTTCACGGTGTGAATCGGAAAATCAACTGTACCTTGAGTCGTCGCTAACGAAAAAAGACGCAAGTTCCCTCCGAGGCGCGACGAGTCGCAACGACAGACTGTAAACAGGCGTGAAACAGTGATCCTTTTCGAGGAACAAGCGGTGTGTGTTTATCCGAGAAGATGGAACGAAGATACGGCGAGCCGATTCTACCGATCATCAAGCTTTGCCTTTTGATCTTAACGGTAAGAAAACAAAGTGCATCCGAGTGCGTACTGTTCTAATCACTTGAATTCTATCGAGCGAAATTAGCGACTCGTGTGGAAACGGTTGCCTGGACAGGGACTGATCTTTGCGAATCGCGTCGTCGACGCAGCCGGTAATGAAAACAGTAATAGAATCATCTCGGGTCAAAAAAAATATTCGTGCGACTCGTTTTTGCATTTGCGAATGTATCTAGAGTAAATACTCGGTAATACGCTCGAAGAATGAAATAACGATTCGCGACACGGTCGCTATGTACCGACGGAATTGTTATTCTCTGTTACGTTACACGATTAAACATGGTCTGTGATTAGCAACCGAACGGTCATGTTTACGCAACCCGAGATCTGTTATCGTGTAACTGTATATCGCCAGTCAGGGTGAACTTGTGTCGAATGGAACGATTAATATTAGGAATTTCATCAGAAGTCCGATGAACCTGAATAGGCGCGTGAATTATCGTTCGTTCACAGATTTTCCATGGAACATTGTGACAGATTTAACGCACAGTTTAACCGAGCTGGGATTTACATAATATTACTCTGAAATAACAGCAAGGTCAAACACCATCCGATTCTTTTTAATGTAGGCTAGCGGTGGCCTCGCTTAATAATCATAAGTACCCCAGTTTCGCAAATCGATTTGCAGGTGACGTAGACGCGGATAGTTAAGGAAAGTCGGTAACACTTCTCTTGGAATAGTCAGGATACGGACGGAAACCTTCCTTGTCTCGTTACTTCCTGAATAATCTCGGAAGACGAGCTCGGTTTATCGGGCGGTCGCGGAGTTTATTATTGGACCGCTGTTTTTCTTTCCTTTTTGCGAGCAGATTGTTTTCGTGCTTACGCATCATTGTTGCGCATCATTTCGTCGCCGAAAGTCCATGCAGGATGTCTCACGGGAACTTTTGAACAAATTTGAATGCATTATGAGCCGGTGATTCCCGGTAGCTTCGACATTTGCATGCGCCGCGCGAGAAATCGTGCGGATGCAATTGCGAACCTCCACGGCAAAGGCCTGATGAAACGAGTTTAAGATGGGCAATTTATTCTTGGAATTGTTAAGAACCTGTATGCGTTTATCTCGATCCGACATCTCGTCGGATGTATGCGTCTGCGAACGGAGGCAGACTTTGACGAAATGAAAAATAATTAATGAAGAATTATTAACCCTTTGAACTCTATAGGCTCCAATATTGCACCAGTTATAATATTAAATACTTTAATGAATCTTAAAGAAGTTACCCTAAAATTATTCGATTTTCCAAACATCTAAATTTTGTACTGTACTTGTACTGCGATCCCTATATATCTTTAATATTTAAAATGGACAATTGCAGACGAATAATTGAAATATTCAATTAACGAGAGGCTGGCACGTATCTGTTGATATTAAAAATTTCCATGCAGAATTCAGTTTTTTTTATGAAAAGAAACATTGTAATGTTAGTTTCTAGAAACCTGCCGATTGTTAAGGTTTAAAATTGGCGTCGATCGGCGAGTAGAGAAAGGATAATGACTTGTACCCACTAATCCGCGTAAGTGGGCATGCCCAGGTACGAGCGAGTACCCGTAACGGTACTTCCGGTTCTTCTGAAAAGGTCTTAGAAGCGTGCGGTACTTACGATGGCGGCTGAAACGGTTCTTGCGATTAACGCATCGATCTCGAGAGTGGCGATCCTCGTTGACGTGAAACGCACATTTCGCAGATGACGCAGAATATTCACGGGTATCCGCACCACGCCACTACGACGACGACGGACGTCGGCCAGTCCGCGGGTCTTACGGGGGAACCGCGGATAACTGTGAATCCTGCACTTTCCCGTGAAATTTCCGAGGAGGACGACGACTCGAGCGATTCCGAGGAACGGTCCGCCGATAATGACGTATCGAAGAGGAAAGGCCGCAGGGATACGTCAGGCAGAAGTTTCAGAGGTCAGTGTGAGAAAACGCTACTTTACGGTTGCGAGAAAAATTTATACGAATCGACGGACGGAAGCGGTACCTGTTTACCCCTCGATTTCCGGTGGAACGTGCAAGTAGATGGCGTCGGTTGTTTGTTTCACCGTTGAATTCTTCAAGGATTAAATCGTACATATCTGATTCGATGATTTTCGGCTACAGATCTGGAGGATATGCAGGCGGATGGCAAGATCATATTCCCCGAGGACGATATTCCTCGACACGTGCCGGCCTGCAAGGGGTCCACGTACTGCGAGAAGGTAGATTCCTATCCTGCGAACTTGGTAAGCGAAGCGATTCAACGAAATGGAAGCCTCAAGTATCTGGCAGGTGTTGACGTGGTGAGTAGACTCGTTGTTAATGAGACGTCTTAAATCTCTATTATCCTCTAATACGATTTGCGTCTTTCCAGCTGTCCGGCATAGTGCAGAGAATCGACGCGATGGACGACGTGCCGCTTTGCATATCTACCGTACGTATCGGTACACGCATCCGCAGCATGTACCAATCCTGTAAAGATAAAAGAATTTGTTAGTACGAAGGATAAAAAAGGGATCGGTTTACTAATTGCAATTACTGTTTAAGGAGCAGGTGATATTTCCTCAATCGGCCGAGAACAAGGATAATCAATGGAAGTTTATTGCCAATCAAGATAACTTCAAGCAGGGTGTACGCGTTGAGAAGTGTAGGTCAGTGTCCTATGAATAGAACGTCGATGAACTGCGAGCGATTTTCCGCGCGTTATTTCTTGTCTAACTTTTGAATCGTTTGCAGCAACGAGAACACTAGTTGCAACGTGATCGGCGGACCAGGCGAGGGTTACAGGACAACTTGCAAGCAAAAGTACGTTTATAGGCAACTTGCGGCAGTGTTGTCCGACGGTACGATGGTACCGGACACGTTCAAGTTTCCTTCGAGTTGCTGTTGCCACATCATGTTCACGGGAAGCCCGTTCACAAGGATGGGTCAGGTCACACCTGCTAAAACGCGCAGGAGAAAATGAATACTCGGGAGTCGCGCGTAACGTGATCAATTGTAAAGAGGAGCTCTCTCTGTTAATACCCGTTTGACTGTTAGAAACGCTTTGAACGGAACGTCGCCGAATGCATTTCACAGAATGAAGTACAATTCCCTTGATTAATGACCTGTAGACAGCGTGATCGCGTTTTGTTGCAATGTAACCAGGTGCGTTTGTAAATACCGGAATCTCTTCCTTTTTTTTTTATTTACTTCGGAACTAAGACATATGAGGCAGTTCAGTGTATCTATATGACAATTCACGAACAGAATATGCTCGGAACAGTCTATCGACTTATCTGGTAATGACAAAGAAAGGTGATACAAGACTCGCAGGCGTTTCTTCGATCATCCATGACGAATGGATACTTAAAATAGAATTGAAAGAACAACACGACTGCCGGTGTACGTATATAATATGTTTCATGTTGAGATACAGTTATTATTAGCTGAATGTACGTATGCAATTATTGACTGTACAGAATATTCTTTACCTGTTTTTTAACGCGTGTAGTTGGATGATTTTAAGAGAAAGAGAGAGAGAGAGAGAGAGAGAGAGAGAGAGAGCGTGCGAGAGAGAAAGAGAGAAAGAGAGAGAGTGAGAAAATACTTTGCGCAAGAGGGACAAAACGAGTCTCTGAAGTGAATGTGGATAATCTATATCATGTGATATTATGTGATAATATAGCCATTGAGATCAACATAGTAATGTATACGTAGTTTAGAAATGATATCATTTCTTTTGTACCTGTAGCTTCAACAATGCGTATTCTCCTATGAAACAGATGAAGCAGCAATAAATAACGGTGACATGAAAACATATCTTACTTTGTATAATCGTAGATAACTTCTCCTACATAAATTAAAAGAAGATAAGGAAACAATTCCTAACGTTTTCGCTTACAGCATGCGGTTTTTTATTTTATTGTTCTTCATACTCATGTTGTATATGTTGTGTCAAGGGAACTATGCGACGAAACTTGATTGACAAGTACACAAATTTATTCTTACGCATTAAATACAATACTTAGAGCTATCGTTTCTTTTAACGTGCAATGTTTTTCGTAGCTCATTAAATGCTTGTACACCATTAGTTTACAATTGTCTTCGTCAGAATTTGAAGTGTAAATAAATATATATGATGTATACAGATGACAATAAAAAGTCTGAGACGTAGAATGACATTTTCTGAATTTAATATATTTTTAAATGTAAAGTGGTCCGGTATTTAAATTAAATTCTAAAAATCCTTTTACGGATCCGTCTCTCTCATTCCTGCCCCCTTACGTTTTTGTAACTGGTCCATGGGTATACCTTTGGGAGATCACAATTTCAATGATTAAGGTACAACGAACAATAGCTACCATAATTCATGATTTGTTGTAGAATAATTATAGACTAGGGAAAATACGTATAAATCATTTTTTTTCCTCAAAATTTGTTAACACGTGTAAATTCCAAAGATCACCTAATATAGGTTTATACACCCTGTTCAGGGATAAAATACAGAAGTAGGAAAAATGGGCCGTGCTTCGTGAACATTTATGTCCACCATGTATACGCTAAAATAGTTATCCACTAGTCGGCACTGATGAACCATACAAAATACAATCTTTTCTGTTTTCCTGTTTACGGAAGCACTACCTAAACGTGAAGTACTCACATTCTCACTTGGAAGAATAAGAACTGTATCTAACGCTT